CGGATCCCACGCAACAGTCTGTGGACATGCCTTCGTGCATACGGGATAGATGGCCAGCTGCTAAGGGCCACAAAACCACTGTATTCTGATAGCAGGTGCTGCGTCAGAGTAAATGGCACTGGTCGAATCCGTTCAAGGTTGGTACTGGTCTCAGCCAAGGCTGCGTCTTGTCTCCTTTCCTGTTTGCATTGTTCAACTAACCTTCGTTTCGAAGGGTACTATACCGGGAATAATCGTTTCTGAGGAAATACCCTACGTTTTTCTATGAGATAGCTGTGATCACAATATATGCAATTTTACGTACATATTTTGGGAGCGGTATTGCATCATTAGTTGCATTGTTACTAATTTCAAAATTAGCCCATGTACTGGCGGCTTCATAAGTTATATACTAGTAACTTTACCTGCTTGTCTGGTGTGGAAACGATCGGCGAAACGAGACTAGCTTGAACGAATTGGCGTATTAAAGTATTGCGTTCACGTGAATTTATGAAGTAAGCTGTTTTTATACAAATATTTGCCAAACGGCACAGTCCGCTGATACCAGGTTTTTCATCTGATTCGTCGCCTGAATATCATCCCATTTTGCATATCAAAACTGTCATCGACTGTTGAACCAGTGGACTTTTTTATTCACGTGACCCTTGAGCTGCTTCTAGATCCATCCCGAAGGAAAGAGAAGGCAGAAACTTTCCCCAGCTTGTCCAATGCTTCACAAGAAATTTTAATCTTCGCCAATAGAAAATGTGGCTATTTTCTGAGTTTGCAGCCATTATGAAGATTTTTAAAAGTTTTTCGCTAAGTGGACGCATATCTGTAATCATAAACCGCTTGCCCGTAATCCTGCAACCTATTAAAATCTACTTAATACCGTAAGACACTGGTAAGATTTGAGTAGTTTTCAACGATGTTTTTTTTTGGTTAAAGCTCTGGTTAGGAACTTGTTAGACACGCTCAAATATGCGTCAATCACATATGAAGCTCGTCAAAGTTTCTTCTCAACGGTTTTGGTAAAAGTGATAAGACAAATCATAGTATCAAGATGGCTCACGTGAGGTCTCGCTTCAAGCGATTGCCAAGGCAATTATGCATCAGCCGCGTCACAGTTGGTGTTAAGAGTAAGATTTATCGGTGTTTGAAAGAAATCCGTTCCGTCGTGAAGAAAACTGTCATAGGAATTTTTTTGTTGCTTGCAGCTTCTGATTAGTGTGTAGCCAGAAGGCAAGCTTTTGGTCCGTGACGCCAGTTATATAGTTTCTTGGCGAAAAAAACGACGAAGCTCATCCAAACAGAGTCTGTACACTTTGCGTCATGGTTGATTTTGGCTCGAAAATTAATACCACCTCGGCGAAAGAGTTGTGGTTCTCTAAATTGCATCAATAACGCATTAAGTTTATTAGATGTCATATATATAAATTTATTATTATATCTACTGTTAATTAATCTTTGCAACTTTAACGTATGAATAAACCGTTCTTTGTGCTGTTTCGTACGAGCACCAACGCAACATTTAAATATTCGATATATCGTCATGGGTAATTGGCTTTGTATAGAACTTGCGCAAGTTTCGTGAACATTAAACAGTGATGTTGAGTCATTCCGAGGTACTTTATCGCTATGCCTTTTTTGTCACTAAAACAATTGCTGTTTTAATAAGACGGTTGTTGATAGGAAAGACGGTGACGACTATTTATCACTATATGCCGACACGTGTTATCCGCGTGACCGTGCTGATGCCACTTTGCAGATACGATTTTCTCTGCGGCCATTTTTAGGCATTTTCATGCTTACAAATTGAGCATTCTTTTCTTATGCGGAAGATAAGTTCCATGTTTCATACGAGACTCCTCCGCATATAAGCTTTATCGCCACAATTATCGCTGACGTGTCGAGTGTTAAACTGCCTGTTATCAGAATACAGTAATAAAAGCAGATCTGCAAGGTCAAATACAAATCGCTTTGATTTAATTTGACTGAAACAATTTTATTTTGAAGATCTGCCTGAATCCACGGACCTTTATGACTGGCTGAGAATGATTAAAAACGTCGGCGATCGGTTGAATAAGGCGCATAGGCAGATCAATACCGTAAGAAACGTGAAGACGATGGAATCGCTATTGTTGTTGTCATAATCATCTACGGTATCAGGGTGAAGGACAGAGTATCCAGATGTCTGACGCTTTGGCCTCTTAAAATGATTTTCGCGATGTTGTTTGATGCGGCAAAGGTCATATTTCTCGTTCAATGCAAGTTCATCTCTGACAGCTGCCTTAGGACACCCCTGTGGGCGCTATTTGCATCCCAGAGGAGAATGGTTTTGGATAAGTCTTCATTCTCTCTCTGAATGGTTCTTTCAAACGGTCCTTGATTTCTTCAGACAACATTTTCAGGCCGGTCGTCTTCAAGAACTTTTCGTTCTTCATTCGATGGAGCTATCACACTTTCAACATGTTACACTGCAGCGCTGCTGAAAAGAATCCAGCATCTTTTCGTGGCGCTGTAAGAGGGCTGATGCTTCAAGGCTGTGCATCAGGAGTGAGAATACGACGGCTTTCAATATAATGGTTTTTGTTGTTGTCCGGATGGGTCGGCCTTGTCACACAGTAAAAAGTCTCCCGAAG